GCTTCTTTAGAGTTTAGGGTTTAGGGTTTAGGGTTTAGGGGTTTAGGGGTTTAGGGGTTTAGGGTTTTATATGGCACATGACTCCCGGCTGATTGGAAAGAGCTCTGGATTCCCAAAAGGGCTTACGGAAAGGCGCAAGAAATGCGTGTAGACGGTGAATCAGCCGGCTGTAGGGTGGAAGCCTTCAAGACCGGATGGCTAATGGCTTCAGAGTTTCCTGTGCTCTTACATGCCGGTCTAAGTGCTAGGCCCTCTTCGGCGTTATGTGAGGGCGACGGAGACTGTTACTTCTGAAGTTCCGGCAAGTTCATCTTTGGAGGACTCGGGTTGTGTGCTTCCTTGCGCATTAGAGTACTTCCAAGGGTTGTGAATGACTGCTTCTCCGGGGTGATGTCAGGAGAACTGAGGCTCGATAGACTCGTTTCCAGGCCATGGTGAAGAGTTCGACTCGACAGTTCAATTAGTTGACATGCCTGAACCTCAGCTTCTTGGGCTCTTCTTATTCTTCAGGAATGGAGTTTTGCTTAGCACCTTTGCATATTCACCATGAAAATAAATGAATACATCTCTTTTCCACCTGTGTTAACATGTTGTAAACAAGTTGCTTTTCGCAGCCAGAGATGAGGGTTTGCTCCCGAAACCCCGCGACCCTACAACCCCTGCAATCGTCACCCGCAACCGAGACTCGAACTCTATGCTTAGTCACCGTAGATACTCTTGCCCCATGGCTCCATGTCGCTGTATAGTATCTACTTAGGCCTGAAAGGGTTCCTATATATAGGGGTTTTCTTTAAGGCCGAAGTAGATACTATACCCTAAACCCTAAACCCTTATATGAGTACATGGACCGATGGGGAACGAGCTGGTCCTGCCAAACCTGAAGCCGCAGGGAGGCTGCAGGACCAGGTTCGGTTTAGGGTTTAGGGGTTTGGGGGATCTCAGAGTATATAGCAACCATATAAACCAAAGCACAAATATAAAATGAATGAATAACATATAGATATAATAAAAAAGAAACAATTTTCATCTACACATGTACTTATAACATCTTCAGCACGAGGCACGTCGTGGAGTACGCCTTCCTCAGAGGAGAAGGCTTCTACTACTTCCTCTTCCTCACGAACTGGGCTTTGAGCCCCGGCCAGGGCGTGCTAGGTCCTGTTGTGGCCGGAGTTTAGAATTCAATATTAAGACTCCGACCGCTTCGGTTCGTCGTTGGATACCGGCCATGAGGAGAACAAGAGAGTCCGCATTCTTCTCGCCATTGCCGGGTTTATCTTTGGTAGTCACTGCTCCTATGTATGACGGAAGGCTTTGCCGATGATGCTGATGACGGTGATGATGTCCGTCAGAAAGAGGACGATCCGACAAAGAGTTCATGGATGTGGCGATGACAATGCTGGTTGTGATGATGCTGCTGCAGTGACACTACGATTTACAATGTGGCGCTGGTGATAGCGCATGCATGGTGGTAACCATAATCCCAGCCATCATTATTATGACGCTTGAGATAATAGCATCTTGATTATATATCCATGACTTTCGATGCTGTAGATCAGGAACATGATGGCCCTTGCGAGCGGAGAAAGTACGTCTCGAAGATGACTGTGCTATAACATATCATGTTGTGTTTTATTAAGTTATGTCATATTACAAACTGCCAGATAACATTACATGGGCGTGCCCTTTATAATTGTACTAAGCTTTTTATATTCAGTTGTACTACATATTATCATTCGTTATAGTACATCATGTATCTTTAAAACATGATATGTGATGTTATGGTGTATCATTGTATTTACATTTCACTACATTATACTTAAATACTAATGTGAGTGAGGTAAAACTATGTGCTTCATTGTGTTTGTTTCAATCAAACAAAAGGAAATCATACTATACAGAGTCTGTTGTAATCAAGTTATACGATATTACACTATAACATGTTGAATTTACCATAGTGGTTTCAAACATGTTATCAACTGTTTCAACATAACACAACGGATATCATAATGAAGCCCATGTTTTGCAATACTTGAATGCATAACATGAAACAATACGTCATGTCAAGTAATAAAAAATATATAACTACGTTTTCGTTATAATATAAAGGGCCACATAAAATACACGTACTATGGTTTTCGTTATAATATAAAGGGCCACATAAAATACACGTACTATGTATGCCATGCATTACGTAACATGTACTGCATTTTACAAGATGCAGTGTGAGCACATATATGCAATTATTTATATTATGTACGGTATGAGATATAACATACATCATATACTTTACAATGAATATGTATATATATATATACATACGCATTATGTATGTGTGTACATATATATGTATTCGTATATGATTGTATGCTATGTCCTAGCATGTCATAGTATACATGTTATTGCATGATGTTCTGTTATTTCGTTTGATGGATACATTCAGCTTTGCACTTATTCGTATGTATGTACGCATCACGGCCACATCCCTTAATGCTGCTATAGATGCATATATGTATGCCGCGGTGGCATGGTTTCACCCAAGCACATGGTAGTCGGTTTCAGTATTCTTTGCATGTTCATGGAGCACAACCCAGAGAGCCCAATACCCCTTAACTAAGGAATATACCTTAAATTTTTAGTGGCCTTAATATTATGGTGTAAGCTATATTCCTAAAATTAGGGGTATTGGGCTCTCTGGGAACCCTAAACCCGAAACCCTGAAACCCTTAAACCCTGAAATTTTCGAAGACCGGGAAGAGCTGAGGATGTTTGAAACGGTGCAGCTCGGCTGCATTGTCGAGCTGTCCTCTCTGCACCCTGGGGCCGACGCGTAAGCCCTGAATGCAGAGTTTAGGTAAGGTTTAGGGTTAAAGCTCAGAATCCCATCTTTAACCGCACTAGCACTAGACTTGCAAGCGCCCAGCCAGCATCTCCCCCAGGTCTGTGTCGGGGCTATTGCTGGTTTGCTTCAGGGTCGTTGCTACTTGGAGGGTCGGGAGACTTAGTAAGTAGGTAGTAAGTAGACTTATGAGTCCCTAATTGGGGTTATAGTACGAGCCTCCAAGTAGGCTTCTTGAGATGCGGTGGCGGTGGAGCTGCCAGGGTGCCGGTTAAGCCGAGCTTGGCCTTCAGAATTACCTATAGTCTCCATTCTAGTTCCTTTTTTTGGTTTAACCAGTTATATATTAAGGATTCTACAAGGTATCCCCAAAAAGGAACTACAATGGAGACTATAGGTAAAGTGAGAGTTCTCCTCTTGTTGACTGTGTTTGGCATTCAAAGTCAGAGTTTCCGAAGATGAGTGGTACCCTATATTCAGGGGTCTGTATTATTAGGATCCTACTATTTAGGGTGCTATATGGGAGTTTCCGAAAACAAGGGGTACCTTATTTTGGGTCCTGATAATAAGGATCCTACTATTTAGGGTACTATATTAGGGTCCCCTATTTTCGGAAACACCCATATTGGGGCCCCTGACTTTCGGAAACCGCCAAGTCTCGCGGTGAAGGTTGTTTTGGGCCCCTGCCGTTTTCGCATGTTTTATAGACGTTTCACCGCAGTCAATGCTCACAGCTGATGTCTGTTCGTCATACTTTTCTTCTTGGATGCCTCTTCCGCAGCGTCGTGAGTACATCGCTTGACATGCCTGCAGCTCCTGTCTTGGTACTTGCAGGCTGGCCCCTGACACGATAAATATGCGGTTGAGGTCTGGCTACATTTGAACCCAGCGGTAAAGGGGTATATGGAAACCAAGCTTCTCCAGACTCCAGATGAGACGTCAGCTGATCCCGGAACGTTGCGACAGTTAGTACAGGTCAACCCTGTGGGCCACTGTTGGAAGACCAGACAGATGCTACCACCCACTGCCATCATCCGGAAAGACCCATCAAAACCAACACGCAAAGGGCACACGCTCTTCAAACCACAGCGCCCTAAAACCTAAACCCCTAGACCCTAAACTCTCAAACCTGACCGCCCTAAATCGAGGCCGAAAATAGCACATCCGTCAGCCTGGAGGATGCCCCGAACCTCTCGAAGCGGTCTTTCGATCCTTATGGCCCCTTTGAGGCCGCTGCATACCAGAATTCAAAGCCTCAACACCCCGAAAACGAAGCTCCTAGGGAACTTTGCCCTGAACCAAGGCTCCTCGGAGCCACCCGGGACCCTCCATCCCAGGAATATGATCCTGCTCTTCCTCCTAACCTTGATGGCTATGGAGGCACCCGAGCCAACCCATCAATGGGATGCTTGGTTGGGAGAAGAACCAGGAGACAGTGGGCAAGGGGTGTTGGGCACAGGGCATCAGGACCCAAATCCGGATCCCTGAGGCGTAATTTCTATAGCAGCAAAGCATGATGCTGCTTCAGCACGGAAGGACGGCATCGACATGGAAGCATGCTCCTTTGTGCATGCTGTTGGATGCAAGGTTATCGTGATTTCGGCAACATGGGCTGCCGGTTTATATTTCCTGGAGAATCCAACATCCCTTACTTAGGCCCTAATATTAAGGCTCTTTGTTCCCATGCGGACAGCAGGCTTATGGCTGTAGCTCGGTTCTGCTTCATCCTCGTATTGTATATGCCCAAAGGGGGCCAGAAACATATTACGCTCATGTTGGGGCTAGGAGTAAGCCCAGATGTTGAACCCTAAAGCCATAAACCGCTAAACCTAAAAGCTTAAACTCTACAACCTTAAAGCCACAAGCCCTGCAGAAAGGTCTTGAGCCCGAAACCCTAAACTCCCAAACCCTAAACCCTAAACCCTCACCCCTAAACCCTAAACCCAAACCCTAAACCCTAAACCAAGGACTATGAGAAGGAGACCGAACCGACCCTGGCACGGGTTGCCATGTTCTTCTTTTCCATCTCCCAGCCGCTGTCGTTAGGTGCCCTTGGGGCCATTACGCTGCAGGGTTCTTTCATAGGGGTTGTGGGGTGCATAAGCAATAATAGCAGGATTCTTTAAGGCTTGGGTTTTAGGGTTTAGATTTATGTAGGGCTTTCGGTTGAGGATGTTGTATTTGGGGTTTTAGGGGCGGCGATTTAGGTCTGGGGCACAGTTCTCAGGACCGTCGGGCTCATCAAGAAGGTTTTGCGCACAGCCACCTCCCAAGCGCAACCTTTACTCCTTCTGAAGCCCTAAACCCTAAATCCTGAACCCTAAACCCCTGAACCGTGCTTGAAAGGAGGTTGAGGGTTGAAGTGGGGTTGCCGTAGGCCCCCGTCTGGCTCCCAGCAGAGGTTTTTGCCGGCTGGCAGAAAAGGGGTTTCATTAGCGTATGTTAAGCTGGCAGTTGTCTACAACACAGTCAACGCCTCGATTCCTGGCATATGCGTAAGCCCAGGTGTAAAAGGGCTATCAATCCGGCTCGTCACTAGCCCGTTACATTTGAAGCTCTGCGACCGCTCAAGTGGTAGTTTAGGTTCGACACAGACCCTCATATAGAGTTCATGTAGCCCCGCACACAAAAAGAAGCAGGTTGCTACAGTAGCTTCCGAAGTTTTTCAAGCGGGACGTTCATAGCTGGAATGGGGTTAGATTACTGTGTGGTTTTCCTATGTATATAACCCTAAACCCTAAACCCAAACCCTTATATAGGGTCCACAAACGGGAACTGTGACGATTTACTCAGGCCTCTACTGCGATGGCTCTAAATCCCAAGCCTTACAATCTAAGCCAAAGCCTACACAAAAATACCTTCAAAGCCCGAAAACCCTGAACCTAAGCCCTGAACCCTAAATCTTAAGCTCCTAAGCCCTAAACCCGAAACCCGAAACCCTAAACCCTAAGCTCCTAAACACTAAACCCGAAACCCGAAACCCTAAACCCTAAACCCTAAATCTTAAATCATCTTAAGCTCCTAAGCCCTCAGCTCCCGCGCCATGAGCCTTGGCCGGACACCTCTGAAGCACCTGATGGTGATCTGGGGGTCATTCAGGGGTTTACCGGATTCAAAAGGGGTTTAGAGTTTTTTAGGGTTTAGGGTTTAGGGTTTAGGGTTTAGGGTCTAGGGTTTAGAGTTTAGAGGTTTAGGGTTCAGGGTTTAGGGTTTAGGGGTTTTAGGGTTTAGGGTTTAGGGCTTAAGTTGCGAGAAGAACTTGCAAGGAAGCGGATGGGCATTAAGCAACAGCGTCGTGAGCAACGTCAGGAGGGAACGAGCAGCTATGTGAAGATTTTTGCGGAATTGAAGCGAGATTTTGTCAACTTGTACTCAGCAGTGGAAAGTGTCGGGATCAATATCCGCAGATTGGCCCTGGGTGTGGCTCCCGGCTGATTGGATAGAGCTCCAGGTTCAACCAAAACAAAGAGGGCTTAAGTTGCCATAAAAGGGTTATGGTAACTTAGAACAAAACTCTTGAGCAAGAGCCTTGTGATTTTCAGGTGTAGCCATCCTCTACTGGACCCTCCTGCGACCGATTTGGGACGTTTCTGGGCTGTGCAGAGGGGGATGGTTGTTCTAGAGTTCGCTGCACCTTACAGATTCAACCCTAAGCCCTAAACCCCTAAACCCTAAACCGCCTGCTCTTGTGATCTCTGATTGCTAGTCATGTCGCCAGTGGATATATGCATGGGTCGGCCCAAGCCTCAGGCATTCGGGTTTAGAGTTCAGGGTTTAGGGGTTTAGGGTTTAGGGTTTAAGATGCTGATGGACAGAATCCTGCATTATCAACCACTGCCGCTGCCACTGCTGGCTCAGGCTACCAGTACATCTACCGCTTATGCTTGACTTATGTCACTCCTTTGCGCTCTCTCTCCGCTCTTTCTATCTCGATGTCTCTCCCTCTCTCACTTTGCCTGCCTCTCTGTCTCTCATCTTGCCCAGGTCTGTTCTGATCGCGTGGAATTACTTGAAAAGCAAAGGGCCTCAAGTGTTTGTGTCGGTTGTGCCGGCTAGTCGCGGGAACCCGCTTTCATGCAGGATGTGCCACAAAAACCCAAAACGTCATAAGGTCCCTAAGCCCTAAACCCTAATCCCCTAAACCCCTCAACCCTAAACCCTAAACCCTAAACCCTAAACCCTAAACCCTAAACCCTAACACAACCTCAAACTCCCAAACCAATGCACGAACGAATCATAGGTAGTACTTTTAGGGGTACCCCTTAAAGGGTACCCCTTCTGAACCCGACTCTTGGCTGTCTGAAAAGGGACCTAATTGAGAGGCTCTATATCCCCAAGGGTCCCCCTA